TGTTATAATGTGGTTAATATAACTTGCTTCATGTTTTACGTGGTTTTACAATTAGTGGCTATGTCAGAGATTGTGCGGGATTTAGCGCGGGACACCCTCGGGACACTAGTTCCCAGTCTTTTATCACGTGACCAGGTGTCTCGTGCAACATGTGCTAAAAGCAAAACATGGAGGAAAGTGCTGAAAAAATGCTTTATTTTACACACTTCAAAGCTAGAAGAAAGCTAAAAAACACTCATGGAGTGTATTTAAAAGTTGAATGAACATTTTGAGTCATAAAAAAGGTAGGAAAGTCGTTAGAGTTGCATGTTTTGAAGTAATATAATATTGTAAGGTCGCGAGTTTTGAATGTCTTGTTGTTATGCTGCTAGTATGTCAGAAAAGGCTAGTGTATGGCTGCCATTTGGTCGTGCTTTTAGAGGTTTCTGTTCAGTAGTACCAGATATAGTGTGTATACAATCGATCGATCAGTAGTTTTCCATCTGTAGTTTTTAGTGAAAAAGAAATAGGAATCCTCACGATTCGTAAACAAGCATTCACCAAGCATGAATAACAGCCATACTACACAAACGTTTTATCCATTTTTAAAAAATCTGTTTTTCTTTATTTATCTGATAGCTTATGTTTTACACGAAACAATCATTGTAATATTTCATTTTTTTGTACAATACAGGCTTGAAAGAAGTATACATGTACATAATATTGTGTGCTAGACATGCAATTGTACAAAGAATACAGCACAACCTTCCATATGCACTACTGATATGCACAGTAAAACCATGTTAATAATGGCTGACCATGACATACCACAGTATGATGTGAATACTACAGTCAGCCAAGGGAATTATTACAATGATATTCAGGTATGTAGGATTTAAAAGTATTTGATCTGGAATCAGTGTATGCATTAAATCACCTGGTATACAAATCAAGTGTCACGAGGCAGGAATTCTATTTGATGGTTCCCAGGATACACAAATCTGCAGGCGCTTTCAAAAATATTGCAGGCCCACAATTGACAATGAGGACTATTTTTGGGCAAAAATATAAATTAGCTTAAGCATCTCTGCCCTAACAAGCCTTATTTTT